CTGTGCTTATGGAGCTTACATTTTAACGGGTTAGGCAGTTGCAGAGGGTGGACAGTGCACAAGATAAGTAGGCAGATGCTATGCCAGAATTCTGCAGCCTGCAACCAGAGCGAGTCCTTCATTTCCTTGCTCTGAGGCTGCAGTTCAGTCTCTTTCATGTGACTGTGAGGCCCTGCTTACCCCCAGCCTCTCTCTTCAGGTCCCAGACACTCTGTTTTTCACTACGCTTGTATTTCTTAGGTCTCCTTTCAGTCACCACGCCCGAGAAAATTTTCAGAAATCTATTTTTGGATTAGAGATCCCCTGTTGTCACATGCCCTCTTTACAACTTATACATAACATGCACCACATAATCATTCCTTAGCTGCTGTGTGGCTGTATTGAAGGTTTGTCTTTTCTACCAGCCTGTAAATTACCTGTTGGCTAAGATGATGCCTTTCTTGTTCTGTCCTGTGTCTTCAGGGCCCAGAATTGGGCCTATTGTAATAAGAGCTGGTTTGGTGAAAGGAGGTAAAAGGGGAGAGAGTTCCTGGCTGAGCCTGGCTGAACTGAGAAGGTCGTGCAAGGCTGGGGAGCCTGCCTGGGCCTTGGGCGGCAGGGTAAGGTGCCAGATGAACACGGGTGGGGCTAAGACTCATGCTTAGGCAGACAGGATCAAGTATTGAAACCAGCCTAGGGAGTTCAACCTTGGTTTTGAGGCTATGGGATGTCATGAAAAGCTTAAATGGATTTTGGGGACTCCTAGTTTGTTTTGATAACATTAAATATGTTCTCAAAATCATTAACAATTTGAAAAACAACTTCAGACATGGCTGGCTTAATTTTTAAACTATGAAAATATGAAGTATGCAATTATGATTCTTATGGTGAAAAAGTTCAACATGTACGTAAGAGCATACAATTTTAATTTCCCTTTTCCTACTACTTTTAATCCTACTTTTTAAATTTAATTTAATTTTTTTTTTTTTAATATAGACAAGGTCTTGCAGTGTTGCTCAGGTTGATACAGAACTCCTGGACTCAAGCGATCTTCCTGCCTGAGCCTCCTGAGTAGCTGGGATTATAGGCCTGGGTTACCATGCCTGGCTGTCTATCCTACTTTTGATCAGTAACTTGGTTTTGGTAGCTGTCCAAAGCATAAACTTTCCTGTGCATTCAAATGTGTATTTCTGTCTTAATGTAGGAAAGGTCATACTCTATGTACTCCAACTTGCTACCCCCGCCCCCAGTATATACTTTATTTTGCTTATTTTTACAGTGTAAGCGTTACTCTCTTAAAACCTAATTATCATTCATCATTGCCTTGTATAGAACCAAGGCATCTCGGACCACGTACCAAATCCCGTAAGGCCTGGCCAGAACAGGGCCATGCTGTCCATGCTCCTTATGTTGTGCTTTGCTGCTGCTTCCTTACTGCGTTTCAACTTTAGCTGACTGATATTCTTTCCCTATTAAATTGCTTCCTCATCTAGGATTTTTGTATATGCAGTTCCCTCTGTCTAGTAACTTTTCTGCCTGATCTTTTCATGGTAGCTAGGTGTTTGTGTGTGTGTGTGTGTGTGTGTGTGTGTGTGTGGTTTTAGAGACAGGGTCTCACTTTATTTCCCAGGCAGGAGTACAGTGAGTGGTGCCATCATGGCTCACTGCAGCCCTGACCTCCTGGGCTCATGCAATCCTCCTGCCTCAGCCTCCCAAGTAGCTGGGACTACAGGTCCCACTACTACACCCAGTAATTTTTGTATTTTTTGTAGAGATAGGGATCTTGCCATGTTACCCAGGCTAGTCTCTCAAACTTCTACTCTCAAGTGATCCTCCCATCTTGGCCTCCCAAAGTGCTGGGATTACAGGTGTGAGCCACTGTGCTTGGCCTGGCTAGATGTCTTTATCCTTAGGTTTAAAAGTTCACTCCAGAAGGGCCTTTCTGAGCAGCCTATCTGAAACAAGTTCTCCCTAGTATTCTTGCCTCAATACTCTTTGTTTCTGTGTAACATTTATTTTGGTTATCAATTGATTTGTTTATTTTCTGTTTCTCTCATTAGTTTGTAATAAGCTCCGTGAGGGCAGAAAATGTATTTCATGTAGTGTTGCTGGGCGGATAGTTATTGAATTAATGTGTAAGTGGTTTAATAAGAACATATAGATCAACTGCATTCTTTCTAAAGGCTAATATTTCATCTTACGGATGTATTAGTCCCTTATTGAAGGGTTATTAAATTGTTTTGCAGAATTTTTTTCTTATTAAAACACCACCAACAAATTCAAAATAATGAATTTCTTTGAATGTCTGTGTCCATGCATGTGGGTATGTCTGTAGGATGACTTCCCAGGAGTAAAATTTCAGAACAAAAGATAACATGTCCTCAAACTTTTGATAGATACTGGCAATTTCTTTTAAAAAAGATTATACCATTTTCTACAATACCGGTAATATAAGAAGTATTTAACTTTGTCATCCTTGCCATTATCAGACTTTAATTTGCTGGATGAAAAGTGAGATCTCATTGTTTTAATTTGTGTTTCTGTGATTATGACCAAGGCTGAACATAGATATTTTCCTTTGAGAAGTGTTTTTATGTGAAGAGCTTTTAGTTTCATCTTTGGCCCAGTTTTTGGTGATGATTGTTGGTCCTTTTTTAGTTAATTCAGAGTTTGATTAAAAATTTTTTAAACTTATGATGTTATAGGCAACTTTTACAGTGATGTCACTTAGTGTCATTGAATTTGGAGCTTTATAGGGCTTTTTAAAAAATCTCTTCAAAAGTAATTTTGTAGAGCCTGATAATGAAACTTTGTTCTGAAAGACCATATTGGAGCTGAATATATAATATTTAGTAGTTTATTACTGAACCAGTAATACAACTTTTAATGTCCAGTGCATAATAGACCCTCAGTAAAGAATTTTTGGATGAATGAATGACAAGTGAAAAGTTAATTTTTAAGGCAGCTTGATTTTATTTGAAAGTTCATTTAGTAGAATTTGATTTTCATAGCAAGAAAACTTAAGCATGCTGTTAAGTTACAAGATAAGATTGCTTTGTGGCATTCTACAGAAGTATTGGATTTGTGGCAGTGGAATTTTTAGTTTGCCGTGTCAGATATAGATATGGCTTTATATATCCACACACAGCTATAACATGTATATACAAATAAGTGACAACATATGACTGATGAATTTTTGAATTACCTTTTAAAATTTGCCTGTTCTCTCAAGTGATGAACTTTTTAGATAGCAGTTTATTTTCTCTCATCACGTTGGAAAGAAATGTTAAAAGTTTTCTTCTGGGTTTATTATAATCCAGCCTTCATCAGCCATCACTCTTCCTGTATTTTGTTCAAGAGGCACTAATTGTTCACATTTGGCAGGTTTAACACTTCCTGACAGAGAGGCTATTAAGGGGAAGTATTCTCCAATAACTGTCACTGGCTGGAACAAAGAACCTTCCAACTCAATGTGTGGAAACCACTAACATTCTTAAATGACCCTTTTCATGGATTTTCATCCCTTTAAGCTAAAATTTGGAGAATGTAGGGTCAGCGAAAACAGCAAGGTGTAATAAAGCAGTAAACCTTGATTTTGGAAGGCATAGGGTGGGAGGTATAGATTTATCTCTGACTTGAAAACAATTGTTATTTGGAAAATCTCATTAGCAGATGTGACTGCTTGGAGTAAAAAAAAAAAAACAAAAAACAACTTAAAACTGATGTCGCTTTCAGGACCGCTTTGAACTTAACAAGCACCTATTTGTGGAGCAGACTGGCTAATGAAAGGAAATTAAATTTTTCTGACAACTTCCCCTGCCAACCTCCTTATTCAGGAGATGTTATTAGGTACTGAAGACCTTTGAGGAAGATTTTTTTTTATTAGACATAAGTGAACCAGTTATAAACATCCCCTTTTTCCCCCCTTTCTTGGAGGATTCTGACATGGTTGCTCTACATTTTAAATGTATTAGTTTAAAAGCTTAAAAAACACTGGGCTTCACTTTAGCGTTTTAGTCATTTTCTAAAAATTCAGTCACACTTACCAGCTGTGGTTTCAAAACAATATTGTCAGTTGTTGTGATAGTTTAGTTTGTGTCACTGAATTACACACACACGCGCGCGAAGGAGGCTTAAATTTCAACATTATCTTTATTGTTATTTGGGGAAATGATTCAGCAGTGTCCTGTGTTGGATGTGTTAGGTGAGGGTTAATGATCAGTGAAATTACTTAGATTCAAGGGAAGTTTTTGTCTTTTCAGCTTCTTAGAGGTAGAAGTGGCATTGGTTAATATTTAGCAATAACTAATCCTTAAATGGATAAACTCTTACCCTTTACTGTTTAGGGAAGCATTTTCTTTCTTTTGCTTTTTGGAGTTTTTTTCTCCAATAGTTGATTCATTGAAATTAAAGTTTTAATTTATGTAACAAGATACAATTGTAGAGGTAAAATATGTACCTGGTAAAAAGACGAAAGAAACAATAGAACAGAAAAGGTAATGCAGATTGCCAAAGGGATTTTTTGGAACAATTTATAATTCCTGTAGGTACTGGAAATTAACTTTTATATTTCTGGAAAATCGATCAACTACTCCCAAACAATAGAGAATCAACTCCCCCTGCTGACAGAATCTAGGAAAACATGACGCATAATATTGGACAGAAACAAGCTGGCTGCGGACAAGCTTTAATGACCTGATTTATGATTCAGTATTGATTGTAAACATCTAAATTCTGCCATTAAATTCCGGCAACTGCACCAAATCATTGGCAATTCTGGTAGTGCTTCCTGCCAGCTCATTTCAACTGCTTTGAGTTTCTTAATATAATAATGATGAGGTAGAATTTACATTCCACTTATGGTATTAATTTTACATTTCTCTGAATGAAAAGGGTTAGAAGGTTGTAAAATTGAACATTAAATGAATCGGAGGAGACAGTAGTGCAATATATGACTGCCCTAAAGACATTGTGCAATGCCTCATGGGATTAATGTTGAGTCTCATTTCCTGCTTTTACAGGATGCAGAAGAAGCTGTCAGAATTGCAAGGGAAATTGGTAAGTCCTTAAATTAACTTTGGTAGGGTTTCTGTGTCTTTCAGCAGATATGGTTGAGTCAACAGGTAATAAGTAATTCCCATAGAGCAAATAATACTTTAATAGTTTTAGATTTTGATTACTTGTTGCTCTGGAAGAATTTATCAGTTGAATTACCAAATTCTATTATTAAAGGAGACTTTAAAGAGTAATTTGACCTTAGCTATACGTAGCTCTTTTGTAAGATGAAATCACAGGCTAATTCAAAGAAGGAATTGTCTTAAGAATTCTAAAGATTGGATATAAGTTTAATGTCAATTTATATGTACATAGTTGAATGTGGTTTGTTAAAATTAAGAACATTGGATTAAAATGAAGATACCATATTTGATATAGTTCTTTAAGTTTTTGCCTTTTTCTAAGATGTTAGGTATCAACTTAATCTTGCTAAACAGGAAAGATAAAATAGATGTGGGAAATTAGAACTGAATGTTCGGAATTGGAATAAAAGGTAGACTGGAGGAGTTTTTAATGGCTGTTTTACATGTACTTGTATTTGGGGCAGTGTTTCCCAGCTTTTTAATTTCTTTTCTTTTCTTTTTTTTTTTTTTTAAGATGGAGTTTTGCTCTTGTTGCCCAGGCTGGAGTGCAATGGCGCGATCTTGGCGCACTGCAACCTCCACCTCCCGGGTTTAAGTGATTCTCCTGCCTCAGCCTCCCTAGTAGCTGGGATTACAGGTGCCCGCCATCACGCCCAGCTAATTTTTTGTATTTTTAGTAGAGATGGGGTTTCACTATGTTGGCCAGGCTGGTCTCGAACTCCTGACCGCAGGCGATCCACCTGCCTCAGCCTCCCAAAGTGCTGGGATTACAGGTGTGAGCCACCGCGCCCGGCTCGCAACTTTTTAATTTTAAAAATATTCTTGGCGGTCATGAGAACTATTTTTGGTATCTGCTAATTGAGAAAATGTTTAAGGGCATGCTATTATCATGGATTAACAATATTGTTAAATAACTTTGCAGGTTTAATAATCAAATCAGTAATTGTATATATTTGACAGAAATGTGTACGGAAATGAGAGAAATTAGGCAATGCTTGTAGTCAGGGATCCCAGCATCTTCTCAGCATTCCTGCACTCCTCAGTCCAAGCATCTCATCGTGCCACACAAACATTTCTGCAGGCCTGTTTTCTCATTAAGATTATTTAGATCTATTTTCTGCCTCTAGAGAGCATTTGATTTGGCAAAGTTCATATAGTTGTGATATGTAGAAATATCTTATTGGTCTGGAAGTGATCACTTGTACTAATAAGCGTGTTCTTTGCAAATGGGACAGTCTAACTTAGCAGGTCTTTAGTGACCTGAAAAGCAGTTTGGCTTGTTGCATCCTTGTTTATAGTTGGTTCTGTCTAAATTGTTTGGGCTTTGCTCATCATTAAGTGTGTTTTGTTGTTTGCTTTGCAAAAATCTATCTTATTGATATAGGTCCTGGATTTAAGACCAGGCCATAGAAAATCTTATTTTATCTGACCACCTCATCTCTTCGTTATTTTTTTTCAGAATCATTAATATTTCACAAAGCATTTCAGTACTTCATAGGAACATTTGCTCCACTGCTAAATAAATTGGACTATATGTAACTGATTCTGTGGTTTCTTTATTGAGAAAAATCAAAAGTTTCTGTCCATGGTTTAAAATCACTGGTGTTCCTCATCGCCTAAGAGGCATGTAATATACCTACTGGCTTTTGAGGATAGTTTTCTAAAATAGTTTAATTTCATCCTGCCAGACATCTTTACATTTAAAAAGCCCTTTTTCTAGTTCTAGGTTAGACATTATTATCAACCTCAATGGATATAATAATACTGTTTTTATTATAATAGTATCAATGTAAAGAAGGACAATATTTAGAGAAATTTGGGGACATAAAGGGATTAGACGAAAATCTACAGTTACACTGCAGTGCCACATTTTGAATGGTGAATCTTGGACTTGCAAGCATTCCCTTTGTGTAAATGGCAGGCAGTGGATTGCTTTGCTTGCTTTCTTGCCTTTTCTTCCACTTTTTTTTTTTTTGAGACAAAGTTTTCATTCTTGTTTCCCAGGCTGGAGTGCAGTGGCTCAATCTCTGCTCACTGCCACCCCCGCCTCCTGGGTTCAGGTGATTCTCCTGCCTCCGCTTCCTGAGTAGCTGGGATTACAGGCACACACCACAATGCCAGCTAAATTTTTTTGTATTTTTAGTAGAGATGGGGTTTCATCATACTGGCCAGGCTGGTCTCAAACTCCTGACCTTAGGTGATCTGCCCACCTCAGCCTCCCAAAGTGCCAGGATTACAGGCATGAGCCAACGCACGTGGCCATCTTCCGCTTTAGTTATAACCTGTGACCTTTAAGAGAACCAGTTCATCATGATGGGCCTCTCTCTAACCAGTTCTCATCACTTTGCTTTCCTCCCTCAATATTTTAATGCTGTACTTTAACTCCTTTTCATTTTTTAATTTTTTTCCTACTGAGGTTACCTAATCTAAGTCTCTTTTCTTTGCACTTGGGCACATCCTTTGACTCCTTTCTCTTTCCTACTCTTTCCTATCTTTCTTCTTCTTCTTCTTCTTTTTTTTTTGAGATGGAGTCTCGCTCTGTTGCCCAGGCTGGAGTGCAGTGGCCGTCTCTCAGCTCACTGCAAGCTCCGCCTCTGGAGTTTATGCCATTCTCCTGCCTCAGCCTCCCAAGTAACTGGGACTACAGGCGCCTGCCACCTCGCCCGGCTAGTTTTTTTTTTTTTAATTTGTTAGTAGAGACGGGGTTTCACCGTGTTAGCCAGGATGGTCTCGATCTCCTGACCTCGTGATCTGCCCGTCTCGGCCTCCCAAAGTGCTGGGATTACAGGCTTGAGCCACCGTGCCCGGCCTCTTTCCTATCTTCTAATTCTTCCCCAATTGCTGTCTCTCACTTGTGAAATAAATGATAGCAATCATGGCTATTAAGTATAAGAGTACTGGTGTTTCGCTTATACTGAAAGAAAGGGAAACTATAAAATTTGAGGTAAAATAAACCATAAAGAACTAGGGTCATCAGCTCTTACAAAGCTTTTGGAATTTCCCTGAAAATCTCTTCTGAATCACCTCAGAAGCCTTGCATAAAATCTTTTCCTTGAAGTGCTACTTTCTAAAATAAATTAAATTATGTTTTATTAAAGTCTGTTGGCTTTCTGTGTTGTTTGATATTATGTAAGTTTTTTACTACTAATTTTATTGAGATATATCACATTTTAACTATGATTATGATTCCATGTGAAAATGTGTTCCTAGTTCTAAACAACTGAATTATAGTCAACACTTTGAACCTATCCATTTGTAAGTTGTTGATTGTCCATGTGTTATACCTATTCATAGAGTTCTCACTTTTAATTCTTTCTGTGTTATGTGGTGAAAATGAAATTCATCCTGTTTTACGTGATTTCCTCCTCTCTCATGTCTTTGCTTTTCTTCTGGAACCATGAATCTATGCTGCCAAAGTAGGAAACTCACTGTATTGAGCATTGATGAATTAAGTGTCTTTTACGTAATGGTAACTCCAGTTTATGGAGCATTTCTTCCTTAGGCCAGGCATTTTGGAAATTTTGTTTCTAATGCTAATTCTTGAGTTTAATTATTTTCGTTTACATTTAAGGAAACTAATGATTAGGCAGGTAAATAATTTGCTCAAGGTCACAGAACTATTGAGTGGTGGACCCTGGTTTAAATTTAGGTTTATTTGGCTCCAAAGACCACAGAATTTTTATTATACTTTGTCTAAATTAGTGAGATTACAGGATGGCAGCTAAAATTTGAGCAACTATTTAGTGTAAAATACTGTAAGGTACTTAAGTGTGTTATATGTGGAATTAAAGAAGCAGACAGTCTCCTATCCTTGATGAGGTGAGAGACAGTTAAGACTTAATATGTTACTTGTATGTATTTGTTTTTTGGACTACCTAGTTTCCCTCATTCTTATTCCTGATTTTTTCCTTTGACCTATCTAAGTTGAGAGATACAGAGCTATTGATCCTCAGTTTGTCTTTAACCTCAATGATAGACAACAGTAATCTGTGAGCTTGATTTCCATTGAAGTTTGATTCTTTTACTGGACTAAAGGTACTTAATACAATCAAGTCAAAATTGATTCTTGAAAGGAAAATAAATTGTGAATCTAAAACCTGTCCTTTAATAACTTCCAGATTATTCAGATTCTTTTCCTTTGCTTGTCTTTCTTACAGTCACAAATCATGCCCAATTTAAACAAAAACATTTTTTTTTTATCCTCAAGTCTACCATACTACAAACCTACTTCTCCCAGAATTTCCACATCTCAATAAAGTCACCCCTTTCAGTCAGGCCAAAACTCAGAGTCTTTCCTGGATGCCTCTTTTCCTCATCATCCTATTGTAAATACATCAATAGATATTGTCAGTTCGTCTTATATACACTGTCTTCATTACCACCACTCTCCTCCAGACTACTTTTGTCTTTTGCAGGGACTATGGCAATAGTTTCTTTACTTCATTTCTTAAACACTTCACATAGCTGACAGTGAGATATTTAAACTCTTTAAAGAACAAAGACACATTTCATCTCATCCCAGCCCATTTCTGCTTTAAATTCTGTAATGACTCCTTTGAACTTAGATAAAAATCACAATTCTTTACTCTGACTACTATCCCCATATAATTTGACACCTGCTTTTCTCTTCAGTCTTATTGTATACTACTCCCTTCTTTGCCTACCGTACTTCACTCACATTGGCTTACTTGAACACAGCAAATTTCAGGGCCTTAGGATAAATTTTTTTTTTTTTTCTTTTGCAGGGTGAAGGGGGATGGCAGGACCTAGCAGACGCTTACTGATATCTTCACATAAATAGCTCCTTGCAGTCTTTCATATCTTAGACTAAGTATCATGTCTTCAAGAGAAGATGCTCTAATACTGTCACCCAGTCATTCTCTGTCTTATAACTATTTTCTAAATTTCTGCATAGTATTC